GATTCACTGCCTTCACTTTATTGACCATTGTCCGTGAGTTTTTTCTTTCATATATATTCTCTTTGATTATGGCCTTTTCCACTTTACAAAGACCTTTACCATTTTGTGTGAGGCCAGTTTTTTGGTGCTGAACTCTTTTAGTTTTTGCTTGTCTGTGATACACTTCACTTCTCCCTCAATTCTGAATGATAACCTGCTGGTAGAATATTCTAGGTGATCTGTTTTTTTTTTTTTTTCCTTCAGCACTTTAAATACATCCTGCCACTGCCTTCTCCCTGCAAAGTTTCTGTTGAAAAATCAGCTGATAGCCTTGTGGGATTTTCCATTTATGTGACTTTTTTCCTCTTGCTGCCTTTAACATCACTTCTTATCTTTATCTTTTGCCATTTTAACCATAAAATGACCTGGTATGAATTTCTTCGGGCTCCTCTTGTTTGGGACTGTGTTTTCTGGACCTCAGTGTCTCCTTCTTTCCTGAATTTAGGGAAGTTTCAGCCATTACTTCTCAAATTCAGTTTCTGTCCCTTTCTCTTTCTTCTCCTTCTGGGAATCCTATATGTGAGTGATAGCATGCTGGATGTAGTCCCAGAAGTTTCTTATTCTGAAACATGCTTTTGCTGTTCTGACAGGGCAATATCCAGTATTCTTTTTTCTAGATGATTAATCCTAATACAGCTCTTCTGCATCCTGAAATTTGCTTTTGATTCCCTATAGTGTAGTTTTCATTTCAGTTATTGTATTCTTCAGGTATGATTAGTTCTTTCTTATATATTTCTATCTTTTTCTTGAAGTACTCATTGTGTTCCTTTATTCTTCACCTGAGTTTGGTGACCATATTTATGACCAAATTGGAACTCTTTCTTAGATGAATTACTTATCTTCATTACATTAGCAATTGTTTGAAGTTTCTGTTTTGTTTGTTTTTTTTCATTTGAAACACATTTCTGTCCTAATTTGTTTTACTTTTTGTATTTGTTTTTAATGGAGCAGCTACCTCTCTTGGTCTTTGAAAGTGTGGCTTTGTGTAGCAGCAAACCCTGTGCAGAGTGTGTGTGCCTGTGGCTTTTGCAGGCAGCTGGAACTGAGGTGGGTGTGGGCTCAGGTATCCCTGTATGGTCCCAGTCCTATTTAGCTGGAGCTGGAATGTGCCTGGGCTCAGGTGACCTAAGGTGTGTAGCTCTGGGACCACCCAAGCAGAGCAGGTAGTTGGAGAACTGGCTGGAGCTGAGTGGATGCAGGACAAACTGGCTTCAGTGAGCTCTGGTGGAACAGAGTTAGAACTGGAGTTGGCACAGGCTGAGGTGTTCCAGAGCACATGGGTATTGGGCAAACCTTGCACCATGGCTGGCTAGAGCAGGTTTGGGCCAGGGACTTTGGGGATGCTGGGGTTGTCCTGCAGCTTGGCTACAGTGTTTGCACTGAGCTCCCAGTCATCTGTCCAAGGGGAGTGGGAACATAAACAATGGTTCTCTCTTGTGCCTCACATCTTAGAACATGCCAGCAGTTGCCCACATGTTTAGCAGATACTTTCTGGTTAGTGAATGGATTTCCTTCTTGGATAGTCTCACTGCCCTTGAACTACTGTTAGTTTACTGTGCCCCAGGGGAGGCAGTACTACATTGGGCCCCTTGGGAAAGCCCCTCCTTCTGCAAGTCCCCACATTTAGTGTAGGGTTTCCATCTTTACTATTTGGCCCCTCTGTCATTTGTAGTGGAGAAGCTGTTCAATCAGCACTTATTCCTCCTCAGGAGGAATTGCTCTGTATGGAGCTGCTAATTTAGTTTGTCTGTGAGGAGAGGTGAGTTCAGGGTGTTCCTGTGCAGCACCTTAGACCCACATCAACCTCCAGACTTTTTGTTTAGCACAGTAGTAATAAGTACAAGTTTATCTTTTCATTCCAGTTGATATAAAAGTGTATCAAATTAATGGCAAAAGTCTTTCTGTACCCTACTACCCAAAATCATGACTTGTTTCAGTGTTTATTCTGACCTTTTTACTAGCTATGACTATAGTCTTGAATAATAAACATATTCTGTTTTTAATTTTTTATTATTAGCAATAGGATTAATTCCTCATATAAGATGTAAAAAAAATTAAGATTGGCTGATAATTGGGAATGATCAGAATGGCAATTTATACAACTGTGATTAATATGTTAAGAAGTTCGATGGGAAATATGGACTATATGCAAGAGTAGATGGACAATGTGAACAGAAAGATGAAGCCTCTAAAAATGTGGAAATGCTCGAAATAAAAACATTATGTCCAAAATGAAGATTGCCTTTGAAGAGCTCATCAGTAGATTAGGTATAGTCTTGCAGGATCAGTGACCCTCAAGATTTGTTAATAGAAATTTGCCAGCTGAAAAGCAAAACAAATGCAATACTGAAAGAAAGAAAACAGAGCAGAATGTTCAAGAGCTTGAGATAATCACAAAAGGTGTTGCATACATGTAATTGGAGTATCATAGGAGGAAGAAAGAGAATAGGATGAGTAGAAATATCTGCAGTAATAAGGGATGAGAATTTTCTGATTTATCGACTGGCACCAAACCACTGATCTAGGGAGCTTTGAGAACACCAAGAAGGACAAATTTGAAAGAAAGAAAGAAAGAAAGAAAGAAAGAAAGAAAGAAAGAAAGAAAGAAAGAAAGAAAGAGAGAGAGAGAGAGAAAGAAAGAAAGAGAGAGAAAGAGAGAGAGAAAGAAAGGAGGGAGGGAGGGAAGAAGGAAAGAAAGAAAGAAAGAAAGAAAGAAAGAAAGAAAGAAAGAAAGAAAGAAAGAAAGAAAGAAAGAAACCAATGCTTTCTATTCATTTTTGGACAGAGTATTGTTTTATATGATATTATAATGGTAGATGCATAATGTTTTATGATAGTTAAGTCCACTGAACTATGCGATACAAAGAGTCAATGTTAATAGAAAGTATAAACTTCAGCCTATAGAATGTATCTATACCGGTACATTCATTTAAATAGATGAGCCACATTTGTGGGAGACATGAGTAATAAGTGAAACTGTGTGGGAAATTGAGGATGGCGAGAGGGATTATATAGAAACCTTCTGTACTTTCTGAGTAATTTTTCTTTAAATCCAAAAGTATACAAAAATATAAAGTCTATTAAAGTGAATAGGCAAACTAGTAACTAAATCAATATTTATAATACAAAAAACTAACCAAGGACTCATTCTGCATATATAAGAACTCCTGCAAATAAATGAAAAAAGGTAACACAGTAAAAATGGAAAAACTTAAACAGACACTTCAAAAAATAAAAGTAGCTGATAGGCTCATGAAAAGATGCTCAATCATTAGTCATTTAGGAAATGCACACTCAACCACAAGCAGATACCACTCTGGGTGCATCCGAATGAGTGTGAGTCAGACTGACAATACATGTTTGGGGAGAGCTCCTGGGGCAGCTGGAACTTGTGTATGTTGGTGGTGAGGATGTGAAATAGCACAACTGCTCTGGAAAAGAGTTTGGCTATTTCTCAAAGTTGATGATACATCTTTGTATGACCCAATGATTTCCCTTCAGGCTATTTATCCAAGAAACAGAAATGAATGTCCAGAAAACAGACTGGATTAAGTACATTCACAGCAGCTGTGCTCACAGTAGCCCAGAATGGAATGCTACCCGTGTGTCTGTCAGTGTAAGAACAACCTGTGGTGCACACATGCAATGAAATAGCACTCAGATTTACAAAGGGACAGACTGCTGATCTGTGCATGCAGTGACATGGGTCAATCCCAAAATACTATTCTGAGTGAAGAAGGAAGGAACAAAAAGTACATTTTTTCATCTTCACCATATGAAGCCAAAGGTTGAGCAAATGAACTTTTGGTGACAGAAGTAGGAACAAATGCTGTCTCTGGGCAGGAGGAGTGACTGGGAGGGACCGAGGGAACTTTCAGAGGAGAAGAAAGGATATCTTGATTGGGGTTTGGGTCACATGGATATAGTCACTGGCAAAGTTCATAGACCTCATAATCTGTGCAATCACCCTTTCTTAATTACACCTCTATCAAAAATGGAAGATTTTAGAAGATGCTACATTTAAACTTATATGTTTATTTATAGAATATGTGACTTAAAAATTACTGTAGTAAGATTAATAAATGCTGAGAGCTCTTTGGAATAAAAGGCAAATCTGGCATAGATCCTGTCCTCAGAGAACATGGAGTTGAGCAATACCCCCTGCAAACCGGCCACAAAGGATTAGAGAGCACCTACCCCAGGAGGGAGAGTTGGAGCAAAGGCAAAGGGCTGGAACAAGAAGGAGAATGTGGGATTCTCATGGAAAGTATGTAAAGGAAACACAAGTAGACAACATATCTCATCTTAAATAGGCCCTGATGCTGATTTACCTAGTTGTAGAGGTTAACTTCATATTACCAAGTTTGAAAATGGTAGAACAATGAACTTAAAGCTGGTGGTTCACATATGGCAAATGAGGAGTTAGCACAGACTGATTTGAAAATTATCTTTTGCTCCTTCATTAATTCGTTTATTCAATCAACTTTTATTATTCTAGAAAGGTAGTCTAAGGCCTGCCAGAAACAAGGAAGACTGCTGCATGTGTTCTCAATTGAACTTTCATTTGTTTAATTTATAGAGACAGATTACAGGGGAGTGACCACAGAAACTTGTCAAAATGTAATATTCTTGTAGTTTCCATCAAGTGCCATGATGAAAGAAATTTAGACTTTCCTGCACTGCTGTCCTCTGGTGCTGAGGGTGGGATTCTACAGAAGAGGGCACAGAGTTGGCAAAAGCTCCATGGGGACGGGGTGAGGGCCCTGGGGGAGGCTGTCCTTCAGACTGTGCTCTCAGTGTTTGCAATAAAGGGTCTGTCTTAAACCTTAGGAGCAGGACTATTATGTTAACTGTTTTAATTCCAGGGCCAGAGGACAAACATGTTAAGAAAACCTTCCAAACTGATAGGGACAGAGTCATATTTTCAAAGTCACATCAACTGAACAAAGCAAGTCTCTGAATCAGGACAACAGACTGTTCCCTGACATCTTCAGAATTTCCTGAGGAAGGCTTCCTTCATGTTTATCCACCTCAGGGGTGTCCTGTAGAGCCCTCTGGAGAACAAGCCTCAGGGTCTGTTGCCGCTTCCACCATCGCTGCCTAAAGGAGCCAACAAAGAAGTAAATGATGGGATTGGCACAGCTGTTGACACAGGACAAAAAAACAGCAATCAGGAAAAGACGAAAGAAGGCACGAGTATCTTTTTGAAACCAGAATATGAGGAACCAGTGGATGCCAAATGGCAGGCCACAGGTGAGGAAGACCAGCACTGTGAGCCCCACAGTCACATAGAGCCTGGTGGGCTGCACCCTCTGGGAGCCACACAGCAGCCTGGTCAGCAGAACCAGGCTGGACCCAGAGAGAAGCACAAATAACAACATTAGCCAGGCCACAGTGATGAAATCCAATGCTGGACACCAAAAGGGATGTACATTTCTATTCAGGAAGCCACAGTAGTTTCCTTGCAGGATGCTGAGGAGCAGGGACATGGTCCAGAGCAGGGCACACATGACAGCTGACATGTGTCTGGGGCGGCGGCAGCGGTACCAGATGGGCCACGTGATAGACAAGCAGCGCTCTGTGCTAATGGCACTGAGAAAGCTCAGGCCTGCGATGTAGGCAAAGACTGACACAGTGACAAAAAAGTCCGGGAAGGATCTGGAGATGGGCCAGAAGAACATGATGAGTGTCTCCAGGGCATGCAAAATACAGCAACAGAGTAAAGTGAAGTCAGCTGTTGCTAGGTTGAGGATGTAGATAGAGAAGACGTTCCTCCTCATACAGAAGCCCAGAAGCCAGAGCACAGTGGCATTTCCTGCCATCCCGACCAGGGCAGTGATGATGGTCAGTAAGTTCAGGATTATGATCTCCATCTTCAAACTTTGCAGATGGGGCTGTTCACTTCCACTTATTTGTGTGAGTTCTGTGATCCAGGCTGCGACAGTTGTTTCTGAGCTCAGAAACCCTCCACTGGTGCCACTGGAACAGAAACAGGACTTGAGCACCTGGTACATGATCACTGAGTCTCATGGCCACCCTGCTCCTGGGAGGAACTACTGTCTGTGCTGCAGAGGAGGGAGATGGAGCTTTGTAGTAGTGAGTAAGTCACCAAAGATTTTACAGCCTTGGAGCCCAGAAGGTGTATTCGAACCCAGTTCTCTCTGACTGTTAGAGTTTGGGGCTCTTCCTACTACAACACAGACCCTGTACTGAGTGGGCATAGTTTATGGTCCAAACACCTCCAGGCACAGCCCTAGGCCATGTTGTGTCTGCAGGAAGCAGGAGGAGAAAGGCCTGCACAGGGTGTGTGGGATGACAAGAGGACTCTGATCTCAGCACCACGTGTGCCCTGGGACTGAGATTTCCTGTGAAGGGCTAGAAGCTGGGAGCCCTAGATGTGACCTCTGGGCTATCTCAGTGACTGAGATGTCCATCCCCCATAAAGGAGAGCATGATTTAGGGTTGTAACTCGTACGCAACCTCTTACTATGAGGGGTGTGGGTGTAGCCAGGCCTCTTGGTGTTGGAGGTGGTGGAGTGTGTCATCTTCATGAAGAAGACAGGAAGCACTGCTGTTCAGTGGTGTGTCCAGCTATGTGTGCCCTACACAGGTTACGTCACTCTCACAATGGGTTTCTTCTTAGAGCAGTGAAAATCATAAACGTGAAATACTTATCGATGACATTGTACTCCCACCTTGTTAAGTGAAACCTACATTGCATTCTCAAGACACTTATGATGATAGTGTGAGGTTATTCCAAAGAGGTGATGCCCAATAGAGGTTCAAAGAGTCAAAAAAGAAACTGAGGAGACAGATTTCTGGCCAAGATGGAGGCATAGGTGGACACACTGTGCCTCCTCGCCTAACCAAAATAAGGACAACAAAAAGTTGGAAACAAAAGAACAATCAGTACTGTCAGAAAATTGAACTGTATAGAAGTCCTACAACCAAGGAGTTAAAGAAGAAATATTCATCCAGACCGGTAGGATGGGTGGAGTTGGGTGGCTGGGTAGAGAGGACTCGTGGCAAAGTGGCGGCTGGTGGGCCCTGGGTGCACAGGTAGTGGCTCACAGACCCAGCAAGGCATCGGATTGTGGGGGGGTGTGGTGCACAAGGTAGCTGGCAGACTGGGCGGTCCCACATTTACACAGATAAACCAGGCAAAACTGGGAGACACACAGCAAAACCCAGGGTCCCAGCTCAGGAAAATAAAGCCTCAAAACACTGATTCAAATTACCTGTGGGGGTTGAGGTGCCTGGAGAGACTCCCAGCCTTACAGGAGAGTTTGTTGGAGAGACCCACAAGGTCTTAGAATTAATACAAGCCCACCCACACAGGAATCAGCACCAGAAGGGCCCAGTTTTCTTGGGGGAAGGTGGGGAAGTGACTGAAATCCAGCAGAGAGCAGAGCAAGCACCATTATTCCCTCTCTGACCCCTGCTCCACACACAGCGTCAGAATACAGCAACTGGGTTGCCCCACGCAGGTGAACACCTAAGGCTCTGCCCCTCACTACATAACTGGCACAACAAGACAAAAAACAAGCAGCCCAAATGAAAGAACAGATCAAAGCTCCAGAAATAATACAACTAAGTGATGAAGAGATAGCCAGCATGTGCAATCAGATGCACAGTTCAAAGCACTGGTTATCAGGATGCTCACAGAATTGTTTAAATTTGGTCACAAATTAGATGAACAAATGAAGGCTACACTAAGTGAAATAAAGGAAAATGTACAGGGAACCAACAGTGATGGGAAGGAAACTGGGACTCAAATCAATGGAGTGGACCAGAAGGAGGAAAGAAACATCCAAACAGAAAAGAAGGAAAAAACAGGAACTCAAAAAAAAAAAAAAAATGAGGAGAGGCTTAGGAACCTCCAGGGCATTTTTAAACATTCCAACATCCAAATTATAGGTGTACCGGGAGAAGAGGAAGAGCGGCAAGCGGAAATTTTATTTTAACAAATAATAAAGGAGAACTTCCCCAATCTGGCAAAGGAAATAGACTTCCAGGAAATCCAGGAAGCTCAGAGAGTGCCAAAGAAGGTGGACCCAAGGAGGAACACACCAAGGCACATCATAATTACATCAGCCAAGATTAAAATGAAGGAGAGAACTCTAGAAGCAGCAAGAGATAAGGGGACAGTCACCTACAAAGGAGTTCCCATCAGACTGTCAGCTGTTTTCTCAAAAGAAAGCTTACAGGCAAGAAGGGGCTGGAAAGAAGTATTCCAAGTCATGAAAGGCAAGGACCTACATCCAAGATGGCTCTATTCAGCAAAACTTTCATTTAGAATAGAAGGGCAGATAAAGTGCTTCCCAGATAAGGTCAAGTTCAAGGAGTCCATCACCAAGCTCTTATTATATAAAATGTTAAATGGACTTATCTAAGAAAAATAAGATAAAAAATGTATAGTAAAATGACAGCAAACTCACAATTATTAACAACCACACTTAAAAACAAAAATAAAAGCAAACTAAGCAAACAACTAGGACAGGAACAGAACCACAGAAATGGAGATCACATGGAGCGTTAATAACATGGGAGTGGGAGGAGGAGAGAGGGGGAAAAGGTACAGAGAGTAAGTAGCATAGATGGTAGGTAGAAAATAGACAGGGGTAGCGTAAGAATAATATGGGAAATGTAGAACCTAAAGAACTTATAAGTATGACACAAGGACATGAACTAAAGGAGGGGAATGTGGGTGGGAGAGGGTGTGCAGGGTGGAGAGGAGTGAGGGGGAGGAAATGGGACAACTGTAATGACATAATCAATAAAATATATTAAAGAAAAAGAAACTGAGGAGATATAGTGAGAGCTTGAGACAATCATCCTGCGAGAGAGAAAGGAAAAGAGAGGGAGAGAAAGAAAACCCAAGGAAAACAAAGAGTTAGGAGGTCAAAAGAAGAGATGGATTTTTTCTTTTACCATCAAATATCATTTCTATCTCCTCTACCCTCCTCTGCATCATAGGAGGACCGGCCTGTTTCCCTCACCACTGGGCTCCCTTTCCCTCTGGCTCCTGGCTGCTCTCAGGAAAGGGAGACGCTGACAGGTGATTGGAAGGCAAGAGGAGGGTGACTGGGGTTGTAACTCCCTGGCTCTCAGCTCCAGGCTGTCAGTTGCCCAAGGTGGTGTTATTCTGACTAACCATAGTCCTTGTCTGGTGGCTTTTCTTATGGTCACGGTGACACCCATAGCTATAGCCACAGCCATCCCTGAGTTCTGCTAACTTGTCTTTCCTTTTAACCCTCAGGATGTGCAAGGACTACAGCTCCTAAGTATGATTTATATTGGGGGCCTACACACCCTTTATCAATTTCCCTTATCCCTGCTCACACCTTCATACACAGTCCCTTTATCACACTCTTCTTAGTAACCTCATTTTGTTGTGCCCTGTATATTCTCCTGCGATGAACCAGATAGAAGGAATCAAAAAAATAATGGAAAAAGCCTCCTAAACCTTGGAACAGTAAGCTAATCTATGAAACCTGAAGTTATTAAAACTATTTAGTTTTGAAAACAACATCAGTAGAGCAGAGGGGACCTGGCGGGCCCCCTGTGGATCCCTCACAAACTACGATACCAGCACCAAAGTTTCCCTGAAGGGGCACCTGACTCCGCACTCTCACAGATGGATCCCATGGCTCCCTGCATCCTCCACTCAAAATGCAATCATGAGTATGTGGGCTCAGAGGAACTAAACAAAACTGCAACTGAAAGAAGGTAGTTCAGAGCTGACTCTTACCTTACTGCCATCCTGAAGTTCAAGGGTGAGAGTAGACAAGGAAGAGCTCCCAGGGAGTGCCAAAAACCAGAGGATGCTCTTCCAGCCTCTGGATAGGAGGTGCCTGCAGGAGCAGGAGTGAACCCTGAAGACCAGAAGAGGCTTATCAAGAAACTGCACAGCCCCCATGATTTCCTGCACCAGAGGCACTGGCAGATGAGATTCTGGAGATGTGAGGCAAGGGCATCATGGGATGGTTCTCATTTGACTCGACTCTAATGACTTATCTTTTCCTCTCTGCATCTTACCCACTCTGGTCCCCCTCCCTGTGAGGGATGGCTGTCCTGGAGCCAGCTGCTGTCCCCTGTGAGCCTGTGCAAGAAACCCATCCACCAGGCAATGTGGGCTTCTGTAGCTGAAGAAGAGTTTGCTTGGCATTCAGACCCCTGCATGGCCTGGCTCATCTGATCTTTTTCATTTACTCACAGACGTATTGTACACACATTAGTTTATTTCAGAGGACACTAGAGTATATGAAATGAAAGCTGAAGTTTTTCCTAATCTTGTTCATTAGAGAAACTGATGTGTACAATTCCCATTACTCACTCTTTTACAAGTTATTTTATAGCTTAGCATAATGAAACCACGTCTCCAGTTTTGATTTATCAGTGTCAACAACTGTGCGTATTATGTTTCCTTATAAAAGATAAGGAATTTAGCACACCACACACACCATTCTCTCCCTACACATCATGTGTGTTAGCTAGATTATTTTCAGATGATGTGGGGAGAACTAGGATTTTCTGCCTTAGATCCGATAACTTCCTTTCATGTGTTCATGCTGCGGCCAAATTGAATTATGCAGCTCTTCCTTTAATGTCTCCACTGTGAAGCACTGAAAACAATCAGAAAGTCCCATTCACTTATTTCTGCCTTTACTCACCTCTTCTTGTGCCTGTGCCATGCCAGCACTACTGCAGACAGGGGAGACGTAGGGGTGAGTCACACACTGGGCTGTGCCTCTGTGTGAGCTGGGGGAGCTCACCCTGGGAGGGAGTGTTGCTGGAGAAGAGTATTGAGACTCAGTAGGAAGGCCTCCACCCTCTAAAGCCCTGGAAGAAGAGGAAGACCCAGCCAATGCAGTTGTAAGAAGCAGCTAATGAGGGAGGGGGTAAATGAGGAGAGCACAGTATCCTGAAACTGAACTGAGAGAGTACTTTGAGAAGTTGGGAATGAGTATAGCCTCTATCTGACTTACTGGCGAGACTAAGATGAAGACTAAGA